TCGTGCACGCGGCACGCTGCACGCGGCAGGCGACTGGCCGAGCCCAGCCAGTGACCGGTTCAGTCGGACCCCAGCCCGGTCCAGACCGGTTCAGACCGGCTGGACCGGTTCAGTTCTGGTGATCCCGGATAAGCTTAAAAATCATGTTAAGTTAAATAGAGCATCTTAACGAAATTAATCAGTTAAGTTAACAGTCTGAGCATAGTCAATAGTAATTGTTTATATTATTTTCAGTTTAGCAGGCATCAACACTACCTCTCAGTTCAGCAGTTCAGGTGGGGACTCAGACTAAGTACTACATTGTTTATAATTGTTCTACCATGTTCGAGGTATGTATTTTCAGTAACCGCTCGGAATGGTCGCCGGTCCATTCTGGGTTCTAGTGGCCTTATCTAACCACTAGAGTGTGCACATGGTCCGGTATTAGTTTGTGCCGGGAGATAGCGGCATTAGTTTGTGCAGAGCGGCATTAGTTTGTGCCGAGCAGATTCAGTTACGTGACTTCGGTCGCGAGTTCAGACCGGTATCAGTTCAGTTCAGATATATATGCTTAGTTCAAGATATTGTTATTATTTACGATGTTTTACATTAGTATGAGTTTCACGGAGCACAGTGCCTTAGTGCTCACTCTCCAGTTATATTATATTTTTCAGGTCAGGATGTCGGGCCGGGAGCGTGACGTGACGGGGCATGACGGGACTCTCAGGACATTTATATATGTTTTGGACTGTATAAATATGACTTACGCTTCCGCTTATCTTTTGATGACTTATGATGATGTTTTTGCTTTTTGACGAACTCATCATTTTGACGAACTTTTGAGAAAATAAAGTTTTCAGTAACTGGACGTTTTTATTAAATTAAAACAGCGGTTTTCTAAGTTAAGTAACGATTTTTCACGGTAGCACCCCGACTCAATTTTCGCAAAGTAAAAATGTTTTATTTTTCAAAGACTTAGCGAATTATTGCGCAACTCTGATGTTTCAGTAAGGTGGGGTGTTACAATTGGTATCAGAGCACGTTTCGGCGTCTCTGATAAGTTTGCAGCCAGTAATTTTTCAGAAAAACCCGATCTGTCATGCTCACGCCCCGCCGACGACAGGTAAGTGCTGTTGCAATTCAGTTTTTCAGTTATTATAAACATATTACTTTGTCTATGCTCAGAATTGAGGATCAGGACTTTAGTTAAGATGCTCGAATCAGATTCAGACCTTAGAGTTTGGACATGACTCTAGAATTCAGGCATTCAGATATGACTCTAGACGATAGGATCTTTCGAGATAACTCTAGAGTTCTTCAGGTTTCCAGTCAGTATTTATCGGCCATTTTTGGCAACTCGTCAAGAGATATGTGTGCTTTAGTAATCAGTCAGTAATGCTATCGCATATTCAGTAATGTTAAACTTTTCTCAATGTTCAGATGCCGCCACGTAGAGAGCCCGATCATCAGGGTCCTACTCAGGCTACGGTAGTCGCACAGTTTCGCGACTATCATGCAGAGAAGTTCTCAGGACAGGGCGACCCCGGTATCGTTGATGAATGGATTCAGGGGTTGGAGTTCATCTTTGAGGTTATGGAATGCCCCGATAGATATCGCGTAGTTTGCGCTCAGCTTCAGCTCACTGGTGATGCGAGGCTCTGGTGGAACGCCTACTGGAGCATGCGTCCCGGTGAAAAGGCGGGTTGTACATGGGACATGTTCAAGAATCAAGTCCGCGACAAGTACTACCCTTCTTACTATCGGGCAGAGATGGAGCGCCAGTTCTTAGCGCTTCAGCAGGGCACTCGTACTGTCGATGAGTACGAGCGAGAGTTCACCAGACTTGCAGGTTTCGCACCGGATCTTGTTCGCACGGAGGCCCAGAGAGCTCAGCGGTTCATCGACGGACTTTACCCAGCAGTCCGTCATAACATTGTGGGACACGGGACTCAGACGTATGCACGAGCAGTCTCTATCGCCCAGGAGGTTGACGCTAGTATCAGGAGGGAGGCCGTTCGTGATCGTACTCAGCCATCTGCCCCAGCTCAGCCAGTTACAGTTCCACCAGCTTTACCACTTACCCAGCCGCCCAAGAACAACAAGAGGAAGGGGAAAGGTGCCCCGACAGACAAGAGGACCCGACGGAGGTTACAAGAGATTTTACCGTGCCCGACTTGTGGTCGACTTCACAGGGGAGAGTGTCGTGTTGGACAGGACATCTGTTACTTTTTCCAGGAGCCGGGACACTATGCGAGTCGTTGCCCGAAGAAACTCCAGCAGCAGCCTCAGCAGCCACCACAGCAGCAGCAGCCGCGACAGCAGGTGCAGAGACCGCCCCAGCAGCAGCAGCAGCAGCAGAGGGGCAGGCAGCAGGCCAGGGTTTACGCGGTCGATCAGGTGGAGGCAGCACAGCAACCAGGTACTATGTCCGGGATGGTTGTTCTCAATGATATTCCTGTGTTTGCGTTATTCGATACCGGAGCAACGCACACCTTTATTTCACGACGGTGTCTCGACGCCATCGGAGTTCGTGCAGTTACCGCTGTCGATCCTCTCGAGGTTAGTTTAGCCTCGGGACGAAAGATAGTGACTTCAGCTAAAGCTACAGATCTTAGCCTTTCTATCGGTGGTCGAGTATTGACTGCCGACGCGTTTGTTCTCGAGATGAAGGAT